AATCTTCCCTCCATTAAACAAATAAAAAAAAAAACCAGGGGCGCTAATAATTAAGGGGGGCTATTAATTCTGACTTTAACTGTATGTATATATATATATATATATATATATATATTTTTTTTTTTAGTATAATGTTATCTGAGAACGTCCTGACCCCAGTGTTCTACATGCCATACCAATTATTGAAGGTTTAAATCAATGTGTTTCCTATTTTGTACTATTTGTCTTAAGTAAAATCACTGTCCATTGAGACTTATACCATGTGGAGAGAATGTACTGGCATTGGTAAATAAAACTCCAAGAAATTGATCTTGCTTCAAGTGTTTTGACTGACACTCCATTGTGATACTCCCCCTGCGAGTCAGCTTTACCTTTCTAATTTTTTACAGAGACTATAATTCACTTATCTCTTTCTTTGATGCATTAAAAATAATGAACACATTCTCTCATTGATTGCTTAATTCATTGTGACAATTTTTGATTCAGCATTTTATTTTTTAAAAGCTAATTAATTAAAGTAACTCAAATATTATTTCTTATTTTTGAAAAGTAATGTGTTACTTTACTCATTCATTCATTTTCTTTTCGGCTCAGTTCCTTTATTAATCCGGGGTCGCCACAGTGGAATGAAATGCCAACTTATCCAGCACATGTTTTACACAACAGGTGCCCTTCCAGCTCCAACCCATCTCTGGGGAACACACATATACACTTGGGTTAAAGTAAAAAAAAAAAAAAAAAATTCTGAGCCTGAACTTTTTTTTGGAAGGTTATTTTGACGATAGAAACAAAAATAAAGTAACAAGAGTTTAAAGTGCTTACAAACTGGTAAACTGAGACTGAGATAGACTAACTTCAATGATTATGCGGTAACACTTGACAATAAGGTTCATTAGTTAATGCATTTACTAACATGAACTAAACATGAACAACACATGTACAGCATTTATTCATCATAATTGAACATTTACTAATGCATTATTAACATCCAAGTCCATGCTTGTTAACATTAGTTAATCCACCATGAGTTAACATCAGCTAACAATGAACAACTGTATTTTCATTAACTAACGTTAACTAACATGAACAAATACAGTAGTAAATGTATTGTTCATTGTTTGTTCATGTTTGTAAATGCATTAAGTAATGAACCTTATTGTAAAGTTTGACCGATTATGCTTTGCACCATTTATTTAAAAGTACTATGTCACATAAAATGTCTTCTTCTAAAGAATAACAAGTGCTTAAATAACAAGTGCTATAAAATGCTAAAGAACTGAACTGCTAAACTGAAGATTAGTAGTGAAATCAAGGCAATTATCACTTATTTTTTCTTTTTTTTCTGGGTTACAAGCAAAGTCTCGCAAAGTCTTTCTTTCAAAGACATTTGGCCCAGACGATGGAGCTGGTCCAGTGAAGGAGGCTGAGGGTTTGCTGTTTGTCCAATCATGTTTTTTTTAATTCCGTCAAATAAAAAAATCAGGCTACCTCAAATAGCTCCACAGAAAATATGCATTTAATTAATGCTCCGCTGTTATTAATATTTTACAAAATCTGTCAACATTTTTAATAAAAGTTATTAGATTAAAGATTATGTCATGAAGACGACTTATTTATTCCTTCTCACTCTCGGTTCATGTGTGTGTGCTTTGCGTGTGATGCAGTGATTCATGTTTTGCTTAACTAATTCTTTAAATAAAACTCTCTTGAGCTATAAAAGGAAAAAACGCAGAAGAAATTTGCCATTAAAATAATTTTAGCAGAGACGCAGCTGCCAGTCATTTTCACATTAGTTTTTCAGTTAGGGATGAATATTAAAGTAGCTTAATAAAAAATGTCTATAAATAATATTAATAATATTATAATTTATTATATCCATTATTATTATTATTATTATTATTATTATTAAGCTATAAAATTGACAAAACGCATTACCCTTAAAAATATTTGCTTTCATTTTGACATAGCTAAAGCTCACATTTAGTTATGTAAAGAAACATCCCATTGTACAGCAGCAGTCTCAAGTTAGGACACTTAAAAATGCGTTTAAAGATGATCGCCCTTGCGAAGTCAAGTTTACAGTTTTATGAAAGAAAAAGGTATTTAGTGCGTGTGAATTTACAGCGGATCCACCTCTTGCGCTGCAGGCTGAATGATAATCTAGGTAGACAGGCTTTGTGTTTGGCTACACACTAATGCCTTAAAGTTTAACTAAGTAACACATTAATATTGGTAACTACTATTTTTTAAATGGCATTTAACATTTAAATTTCATTTTAAATTTAAATGTAACAATTGTGAACTCTGATGGGCCGCAAGAAGAAATGATCAAATTAATAACACTAAAAGACAAGAGGCTGTGCTGAAGTGTTTTAATGACAACAAAATAAACACCAACCACCTGATTTCAGTGGCTATTTAATCATGAAGGCTCATTATGTATTTGTAGCCAATTTAGTTATTTTGATAGTAGGCTAATATAGCTAATATAGATACATACAGCATGTGTTTCCTTCATTATAAGGCTTATATAAGGCTTTACATTTTTTGTGGCTCCAGACATATTTGTTTTTTGTTATTTTTGGTCCAATATGGCTCTTTCAACATTTTGGGTTGCCGACCTCTGACCTACTCACACACATGCACACGTCAGGAGTGCGGCTGCGGCTGAGTAAATGTGCAATTTCAGTAACGTTAAGTAGGTAGAGGATTTCATTCCCCTTAAATAAAGCGATTCTCTTTAATGTAGTTAATACAGACTCGTTCATAAATTAGTTGCGGCAAAAATGCTGATTACTGATGTAATTATCCATGAATCTGCTGTATTAGCGATTAAAATGACTTATCTAGTTAACGTTAGCTTGTTGCTAACGCAGAAGCCGTTTCCCATGCATTGTTTCATTTGTGACGACTTGGCATAATGTTAACTTAACATTAACAACCTCAATTAGCATATTGTTAAGCTGTGTATTTGCTAAATGAGCACTGTGCTACACTGTGCAAACTTACCCCACTGTATTTTTGTATCAGTTTCTATTCTGTTTTAAGTGACTCAATTAATTTGAAATTAAAATGCTAACCTTTTTTAATTCTTTGTTTTTAGTGTTGTGATTATTTTTATCATAGTTTTGCATTCTTTATGTAAAGCACTTTGAATTACTATTGTGTATAAAATGTGCTACGGTATAAATAAACTTGCATTTGAGTGTTATGTATTGGCAAATACAATTAAAAAAAAATAAAAATGACAGAGAAAATAGACGTAAGATCATTTTTCAGTGCAGCTAAATGCCAAGTACAAAAAGTTCACATTTTAAGGCAATTTGGCTTAAAGAATGAGTCCTTATGATAATGTCACAATATTAATCGCAGGCAAAGGAGAAAGAAATGATTGAGGAACAGGCAGAGCAGGGTCAGTCAGATGTACAGTGTCAGGTAAGGGTGTTGTGCTTTATTGAAGGGATAATGATAATTCTTTTGGGATGAACAATTTTTTAATGTTTTCGGAGTTGTGTCTGTTTAGCAAATGAACCTCACAGGCTCACTGATTTATAATATGATCGGTCATTTTGACAAGTGCAATGTAAACAAGTTAGTTATTAAGAGTATGGAAAATGTCTTTTCCTGCATTTGTTCTGCTTCAGGAGTCGAGTCAGTTGACTGTAAACAACACAACAAACAATGCAATAAGTTTTGAAGAAAAATCTGCTTTGTCGTTGAACCTGAGAAAAACTTTGAAAATAATCATAATGATGAAACCATTTTTAACTGCGGGCACATATTTTTAGTAGTATAATTCGGCTGTATTATTTGTGTCCCCTTCAAAAAAATGCTGGAAAGAAATTTTATATTTATTGTCCCCCCCTACTGTTAAATCACATTTACGCCCATGACCCTGCATACACTCTCATTCACACACATACAGTAAGAACAATTTTAGCTTACCCAATTAACCTGTACATTTCTTTGGACTTGTGGGGAAACCAGAGCACCTGGAGGAAACCCACACAAATGCAGGAAGCATGCTAACTCCACACAGAAATGCCAACTGACCCAGCCGAGGCTCGAACCAGTGACCTTCTTGCTGTGTGGCGACAGCACTACCTACTGCACCACCACTACCTACTCGCCCACTTTACTCATTACAACAAGGTAATATTATTATGTAACTCAATGTAATGCATTACCCCAACACTTTATAGTATGAGCTACAACACAAATAGATGACATTGGTCCTAAATACAATCAAACATTTGAAAGCATCAAGCTATCAGATTTGTTCATGTTTTTAAAAGAAGTCTCATCGGCTCAGATAGATTCCTGCAGTTCAGATATTCATTTGATTATCTTTATTATCAAATTTTATAGGTGCTTTGTCATTAAAATAAATAAATAAACTGTCTAATCTTTTTAAAAAATAAAATTTGATTAGCAAAAAAAGCAACATTTGTTTTGAAAATTAAAATATGAATAGAAATGTTTTTTCTTAAATGATGTTTAACAGAGCAACGAAATTTTCAAAGTATGTCTGATAATATTTTTTCTTCTGGAGAAAGTTTTATTTGTTTGCCCCTTTAGGCAATATATATATATATATATATATATATATATATATATATATATAGTTATTTCATAAGATTTTTTAGTGTATTTTTTCATCAAATAAATTCTTGCAGAGCAGAGACTAGCCTAATGGCTCCCTATAAAATATAGCATGTCTCAATTCCTTTAAAAAATTAAAAAAGCAAACGCTATATTTCTTCAAAGCAGCAAAAAGATGCAGTCTATGGATTAAAAAAAAAACTGTTATCCAGTGCCATTTCCCTATACATTTTCAATGCAGCGTATAACAAAACAAGCAGACGTTTGCACGGGACAGTATTGACCTAATTAATGATTGGTCATTCAATTATAAAGGGAGGACCCTGGAATTCACCCAGACGCCCTGTGATTGGTCAACGCTCCTGTCCGTCAAACGGTATCGCGTACAACACTTCCTTATGTCGATGCCCAGCTGTTGGCAAATGACCCGCATCTCCAGCATCCGTCAACATCGCGTCTTACACAGAACTGCCCCTAGTGTTTGCCACAATACCAGCTCAAAATACACTGCGAGAGAGGACGACGACATGCGTGGAGGAGAATACCTGAAGCTGGCGTGTATTCCCAGTGGACGAGAGTGAATCCTTTTTAAATTGGATTTTTGTGTGTCCTTAAGGTCGTGCTGCAGCACAGCAACAGAAGCTTTGCGTTAACCGGCGCGCGCGTCTTGGCAGCGGAAGAGGACAGTGGCAAATTTCCATTGACAGGTGAGTTGTGGCTACTGTAGATCTACGTGCCCGTTGGCATCTGTATCTGTATATAATATGAAGCGCGAATGAAAACAGCAGCAGCAGGGATGGAGTTGCGTCACAGGGGGTCGTCTGCCTCTACCCAGCTGGGTACCACACTGTCAATGTGATGCATGACGCCATTACATTTGAAACAACGTGTCTGTGCTGCATACTCGTTTTGTTAATATATTATGAAACTGTTATGCTCTAAAGATGCGTCTGGAGACCTGAAGATGGAATAAGAGGTTTTATGTGGAGGCTAATTATTATTTAGAAATCTGCTGTTTTACATTCACTGACTTATTATGTAAACATTAAGTGCAAATATGCAACAGAGATTTTTTTATTGTTATTATGTTATTAATAATAATAATTATAATAATAATAATAAATGAAGAGAATCACAACAATACTGTACAGATAATGATATATAATACAGAACCAACCTTCTGTGTATGTTTACATTTGAGTTTTCTTTCAGAGAAACTACCTTGTAGCACCTGTATTTGTCACAGTACAATAGTTTTTCATTGGCTTTGTGGAAAGTGCTGGGAGTTTTTGGAACAGTTTCTTGGTGTGCATCAACATAACAACCCCCCCCCCCCCCTCCTAATTTCTGTTTTACAGAGAGAAGATTTTTTAACACATTTCTAAACATAATAACCTAATAATTTTTACCTTAATTTTTTTTTTTATTAAAACTACTTTTATTCAAGCCAAAATAAAACAAATAAGACTTTCCCCAAAAGAAAAAAATATTATCAGACATACTGTGAAAATGTTCTTGCTCTGTTAAACATAATTTGGGAAATATTAAAAAAAAAATAAAATAAAGGGGGTAATAATTCTGATTTCAACTGTATATGACACATGAATTTAAAAACAAAACATTTCTGACAAAGTAAACTGAGTAGTTGTTCATATATATATATATATATATATATATATATATATATATATATATATATATATATATATATATATATATATATATATATATATGAACTATATATATATATGAACTATATATATATATGAACTATATATATATATATATATATATATATATAGTGCTCTGCATAAATGAGTACATACCTCACAGATCTCTATTTTAAATGATTTTTTAAAATATTTTCTATAGGATGCTTTACAATATAAAATTTGTGCATATATAGATTAGACTACTAATAATAGTCCAAAAATTAGTAGGCCAAATGTATGTTAAGAGAAAAATATTAAAAACAATTTAAAAAAGAAAATTCATGTAAAGCAAACATACATAGAATTTAGTTAATTTCCTTTTATTATTATTATTATTATTATTATTATTACATTTACATGTATTATCTTTCTATTTCTAAAGATGTTAATTTAAAAGTAATTTAACTTTTATTTTAATGATTATAGTTTAATAAGTATTTTAAAATAAATAATCTAGTTTAATAGATTTTTGTTCAAATTGACCAAAATATATGACCTATATTCACTGATATATGGCTAAAAATATAAATTTTTAAAATGGGGTGTCCTTATTTATGCTGAGCACTGTATAGTCAGTTGATCTTTTATTTTTACTTAACATGTTGAACACAAAGTTTTTTGTGGCACGTGTCTTTTTTGAGGCACGTGTTTTTGTTTAGACTTTTTGAACTTTAGTAATAACATGTACATTCACATTCAACATTCGCTGCTACAGTATGTTGACTTTAGGGCTCTTCATTGTCCAACACAATATTCAGATATCCCCAACTGTATATAAACTAAGAGAATCTGTCTTCTGTTTCAGCTGTGATTTTAATAAATCTGCTTGTTTTCAACTTTTATTATTAAAATAAACTGCAAGTATTTGTTAATAAATGATGTGAACTGTACTGCAAGAAGCTTTGGACCCGTTGCAAGTTTTCTGAGTACCTTAATGGGTTCTGGCCTTATGGTTAAAAACAATTGCACTACAGAAATAACTTGCTAGTAGAAGAGAATTTCAGGTTAAACAAATAGTCATAAATGAAGTATGTAAAGCTTTGAGGATCAAAGACAGTTTGTCCTTATATGCCATTTTTGCTGTAAAAAATGGTAAAACATTCTTTTTTAAAAAACAAGGGTTTGTTAATAGTTAATCATTTTAGATATTATCTTTTGGGATGTGTATAATGTAGCAGTTTGTAAATGCAAAAAATTATGTAATATTTCAATGATCAAAGTGCACAATAACTGAAGATACTATCTCCCAAAAGAGAACCTATTCTAAACCTCCTATTCGCGTATTAACATTTATTTTACATCTATGAAAAAACGATCTTGTTTAAAATCTTGATTTAAAAAAAAAAAAAAGAAAAAAAAGAAATGTAATTCTCATTTTAGCCAGAATCGTGCAGCTCTAGAACCCAGCATTTTTACAGTACAGTTAAAATTTTCAAGTAGATGAGCTCTTTCTAATTATGTTATCTCATTGTTTCTTCAGTTTCAGTGTGGCGCTTCCATATTGAATGTTTAGACTTGATGGCAAACCTTCAAGTGTGGGCAGTGAAGCCAAATAATCTGCTACACTATATTGTGTTGTTTTGTTGCGTTACGCCTCCGTGGAATCTGCTGTTTGCAAGAGATGATGAGAAAATCTGTTATTGTTTCTGTTTGTTTTAGACTGCAAGGTTTCTGTTGCTCCAGTGGAGGGGCCCATAGGTTACAGGTTCAGAATCCCATAGAACAGTTATTGATGAAACCTTTACCTTGAATACACTGTAAGTCACTTCCAATAAAAGAACGTGTCAAATAAGGTAAATGTGGGAAAATGTCGAGATCAATACATTTGTTGGTAGATGAAAAATACTGCAGGTCCTCTGGAGTCTGATATAAGAAGCACTGCCAATGTTGAACATGTTGGACATCCAATGTGGCAGATTGTTGCCTGCAGACTGCTCTGGCCTTGTGTGTACAATATATAAAAAATATGAGCACATTACAGCTCTTTCGGTTGCCATAGAAACTATAGATGTCTCAGCAGTGTGTGCTTCAGCTGAATCTGTGTCTTAGAAATGAAATGGGCCAAAATCACACCTGAGAGACTTTAGGGAACTAAACTGTTACCAAGTACAATTTTAGTAGTTTTAATCTATTTTTTTCACATCACTTTCTCCACTTATGTCAGCTATTTTGGAGTTGTTTGGTTTAGGAAAAAATGTTTTAGTAACTTAATAAATAATGCTGCTGAAAACACTTTGCAGTTGTATATGCTGAGCTATAGATAAGCCCGCACGAGATCTGCGTGCACAGAAACCTGCAGATTTCCACAGATTTTTAGCCCATCATTGAGTTTATTTACTTGTGTAAATGCGTGTACAATTATATTTAACCAGTTTTTAAAATGAATTTCAGTAATTATATTGCTTTATATGAAAATGTTTATACACTGTAACCCAACAGTCAACTTTATTAAATGAAATGAGAGTAGGTAACTCAAAATTTACTCAAAGTTAATTCTACTCAATTGAAAAGTGTTTTGAACTCAGGGTTTTGAAGGTAATGAGTTAATTAAATACCTTATGACTTCAACTTAAATAGAGTAAGCTCACAGTACTCATACAGTTTTTAGCTCAAATGGTTTGTTGCAGTCTGTTTCCTCAAACAGTTTGAGTTGACTTAGCTTATTGAGTTTTACAGTACTCACATGGTTTGAGTTCTCTTCATTTATTGGGTTTTACTGTGCTCAAATTGCTTCATTTACTCAAATGAAGTTTACAGTAATCATTTGGATTAGTTTTTGAACCTAAATGGTTTGTTGCAATCGGTTTCCTCAAACGGTTTGAGTTACCTTAACTTTTTGGGTTTAAAAGTGTATGATTTGATTACAATACAGTTTGTAAAGTATATCTTTTAGTGGATACTGTATATTATATGAGAGACTTGTTTACCGGATTTACAATGTAAACATTAAATAAAAGTTTTACGTTTTAACATATTAAGTGTTTAGTTATAATACTCCCAAAATCATTCTTCAAAAATCTGTAGATTTTTTACAAAATTCTGTGCAAAAATAGCAAAAAAAGTCTGTACATTTGGCCTGGCCTAGCTATAGGTGTAATATCTGGTATGCAGAGTAAAAATCTGATCAGGAGTTTATGTTTGTTAAGGCGGGGTTTATTTGTAATAACAAGATACATTATCTCATTTATCGCATACGTTAATAATTTTATACACATTTTAATTTGATTCAGTTTTTCATTAGCTCACTGAAGACAAAGCTTTAAATGAATAAAGCAAGTTTTAGAAAGTTGCAAGTATGGACCGGTGCTTTAAAATATATTCTTTTAAAATGTCGGATAAAAAAAAAAAAAAGTGGCGCAGTAGGTAGTGCTGTCGCCTCAGCAAGAAGGTCGCTGGTTCGAACCTCGGCTCAGTTGGCGGTTGAAACTGAACTGATACGTTGAAACTTTTGTTTCTGTTTGATTATTATTTTTTTTTCAAAGTAAAAAAGAAGATAGCATTATCTATGCAAGTATGCAAAATCTGGATTTTTAATTAACTTTGGGTACTGTAACATTTTTAAAATGCGTCTTTTTCTGTCTATCTCTCACTCACAGCACACCTAGCAGTTTGGGAATAGTCATTAAAAGCCAAACTGTCATATAAACATCATTACAAACTAAATGCATTGCAAAGCAGAAATAATTTTTTTTTTTCTGTGAATCAACATAAATTAATCACCTTAAAAATAGGAATGTAAGTTGACAATGTTAATAATGCCAATTCGGATATCTTGATGACCCTTTTCCCCATCTACTAAACCTCATATAGCTCATGTCAGGGAAAATGCACAAACATTCTAGGCTATGGCTTCAACAGTAATTTGCAATCATTCATCTGAGTTCGCCTTTGTGTATAAGCTTAGACTCTTGCGCAGGCGGTCCATCTTTTCCAGTTCACTGCTTATGCTGAGCACTTCAGCATTCATCATCAAAAATGCAGAAGGAGTTTCAGTG